TCGAAATTTGAAAAGGACACCTTCGAATATACGGCTAAAACGCGTGCTGGGGTAGAATACATGGAGCGTCGTCTGTGTTGGCGCTTTGTGCTCGTACCCTCTCCCGTTCTTAGCGCAGTAAAGGGATTTTGAACTGTAGAACCGAATTGTTTGTTGTGGTTATTGTAGGAAGAGATTTATTTTCTGTGATTGTTATATGAAATGCGTATAGGATATTGGTGGGAAAGTCAGAAGGAAAGAGACCACAAGGAAGACCAAGGCGTAGGTGGGTGGACAATATTAGAATGGATCAGAGAGAGATATGATGGTATGGTATGGATTGGATAGATCTGGCTCAGGATAGGGACCAGTGGAGGGCTCTTGTGAACACGGTAATGAACCTTCGGGTTCCATAAAAGGCTGGGAAATTCTTGAGTAGGTGCAGAATTGGCGGCTCCTCAAGAAGGGCTCAGCTCCATGAGTAAGTAAGTAAGTAAGTAAGTAAGATTGTTATATGAAAAGATGCATTATGTCGGTTCGCGGATTGATAACGTGATTACACGTGTGTAATATTAATAAGATTTTGCAGACGCTTTGTAATTACATGCCATGTTTTTTTTTTTTTTGAGGCAATTCTAATAAGGCTGTTAAAGAAACAGTATAAGTCTCAGTAAATCTCCCTGCGGTTTGCTGCCAGGAATTGCAGCTCTCTTTGTGACAACAGTGAGTTGCAGTTTTAACCACATTTCGGAGACTTTGTGGGTACAGAACTGTACACGCGTAAACGTTTACGGTTTTTCTCAGGCATACGGGCCAGCTGTGTTTTAAATCAATTGATAGAGTAGAGCCCTTTTGTTACTGAGGCCGTCAAATTCTGCTTATGTGGAATGTGAAAATTCTTTACATTGAAGATTACTGTCGTCTGGGCTCTGACGCCATATTTATTGGTAGAAACTTCATATCTCCTATTGGATTATTAAGACCAGTTCTGATATTACCCTCTCATCTGAACATAGGTCTTAAAGTGGTCCATTTCCTACAGAATCTGTGACTAAATTTATGCCCTTTTCGTCTACCGCATCAGTGCTACATGTCCCTTGCACGTCATTTCCAAACTGTGAATCTCGTCATAATGTAAATGTACTTACGTTTCTGTTACTTGCTCTTTTATATTGCCAAGTATTCTCCTCGCCGGTCACGGTAGCCGAGCGGTCTAAGGCATGTACTATCTTCGCTCGCTTGGAAACTCGGGATCGTGGGTTCGAATCCCACTCGGGGCATGGATGTTTAGTTTCTGTGTATGTGTACAGGTAGAGGCCTTGCGACGAGCTGATCACCCGCCCAAGGAGTCCTACCGAATGTGTAAGTTCTAGAAAAACCGAAGTGAACGGAGAAGTTCATGGAGGTAGGCCTAGGCCAACTGGGGCTGTAGTGCCAAGGAGAAAAAAGGTGTTCTCCTTAGTGCCCTGTTCTCCGTTTGGGCGAGAGACCAGGTTTCGCTTCCATATGAAACGACAGGAAACATAATTTTGTATATTTTGTTATTAGTAGCTAGTTATTAGGTAGGATGCTGGAGGATTTAAGATTCTGAACCGAATGATAGCAAGTATTTAATTTAATCCCTTATTAAGTTCGTCATGAACGCAGTTCTGATTTACTATTATTATTCCTTCAAATATTTGAGCTTGGTCACTCTGTCAAATTTTTGCATTAGGTGCGTGGTTTTTCTGGTGACCAAGCATGAACATACAGACTACTTCAATTCCATCTGCTTTTGTGGCTACACCAACTTGTTTAATAGGTATGTCATTTTAATGGAATGTATATTGTTAAATAATTTTCTATCAGCATAACGAGAAACCGAATTCCCGGTTAGTTCCCGTCCATTATGATTTTCTTGGACGTCCGTCATATACTGGAAACGAATTTAAAAAGTAATGCCAATAATGCTTCTTGTTTCACGTAATTCTAAATAGGAAATACGTCAGACAATACGTCTGCACACGTGTATATGTATGTTTATGTTGTTATATACGTAGTTAGCTTTAATATAACTCGTGTACAGGCAGAAGTTCTTCGTTTAGTGTTTTGGTAATTGCAGTGTTTAAGAATCTTGTTGTTAGCAGTGGCTCTTTGATATGTGGTAGAAGGTAAGTTCACTGATCCCGCAGAAGGACAGCCATTAGCAAGGATTTATGGAATGGTTGATGAAACCGGTATCCAGCACGTTTTCTTTCCTAATAAGGAAAAGGAATTGGTCCCAAAATATTTCTTGTGTCACAGTTTATTTATTTCTTCTTTTCACTTGATGATATAGACAGAGATCTGTTTCGATTTCACGTGTAAGTGAAGTATATGACCCTCACACTCTGCAACCTGGTGGACGCGTCTGTTCCTCTTCCTCTGGCATTTATGTTATACGGAGGTTTGGTTGCATATTTGGACTTTCGGTTATTTTTCTAAAATGTATGGTTGAATGCATATGAGCTATTACAGGCCACGTAGAGAAGAGAGTTAAACTGTAACAGCCTTTGCTGCACTGGCTTAATTCCGTATTTGTGCACTTAGTACCTAATGACGCCCCAAGCTCTTCGGGAGTATACTGTGGAGACGTAGGGAGTTGAAGCAGAAATCCCTCTATTCTGTGCCCCTGTAGTACAGGTTTTACAAATTATGTTATGTAGGACTTACGGTGAACCGCAAAGTCGATCTGGATGTGATATTGAAGAAAAAATCATGATCCAATAATCGAGACCCAGTCATCGAATCATTAGCCATATATTTTACTGGTAGGTATCCTGGAGGTAATGGTTCTTGTTCTTGCCGCGGTCCCAAATCTTTTGAATATGAGGTTCTAATGCTGGGGCGGTGCCTTCGATAAAGTCATAACAGTTTCCTTCTACGTCACTCGTATCATTAAACTTGAAGTTGGCCCTGTGCACCACCCCTTGGAGGCACACTCATCCTTAACCCCAGCAGTGGTTAGCTTCAAGCCTCTGCTGCTCTACCCCTGGAGGATAGAGCCCATGGCGCCCATTGGATCAGAGGATTGACTGCCTCTAGACCCGGTCTGGGCGGTATGGAGAGAACATATCTACCATGAATCGAAACCCTACCGAGCCCTAGCCATAGCCTTAACCTTAACCTTAGCCTACTATAGTATTTTTAGACTCTGAACGGGTCGGAGTTTGAGTCACGGTGAGGTAAAGAATTTTCTCTCCTCCATGTCGTCTAGACCGGGTTTGGGGTGCACCCAACCTCCTATCCAAAGGGTACCGGGGTCTCTTTCCCCGGGAGTAAAGCAGCAGGGGCGTGAAGCTGACCACACATGCAGTTAATGCTGAGCAGAAGAAAATGTGGATATATTCAGCTTCATGACAGTGCTTAAGGGAGAGCTTTGCGTTTTACCTTACCTATCGATGTACACAGTGTTGCAACGCACTGTGTAATCTTCACCGCCATGACAGCGTCATCGTGTGCATTCCATGGACTTCTGAAGTGTGACGTGTCAGCCATCGAGCTTGTCGAAACACGAGGTGATACTGCATTTTACTGTCAGTTGCTTCCTGACGTCATAATCGCAATCGGCGGTCTGAAATCAAACATAGTTGGCAGTGGTATTGTGTTGGAAATGGTTCTGTTATGATGACTTTCCCTGGCAGTTCACGTCATTGGTTACCATTAGTATGGTGCAAGCTTGTAAAGGGGGAAGGGTAACTAGGAAGCAGGTCAATGTTTGGTATCCCCTGCATTTTCCCACTCTTTCCAAGATGCCCCACCGCGTCATGATAACCACCACATATCAGCTGTACAACATACACTTTTCATTGGGCCTGCACAAGAACAGACAGTGGCGGATCCCAAACACACACTTCTCTTGAATGACGTTTACATATATAGATATGCACCCAGTCGTTTCAGCCAGTTTTACTGGTAGCCGTATGGATTGACTCGTACCATACACAACTAAATTCAAAGGGATTTGCAGATGTCATTCTTTGTGTTGCCTCAGAGTTCCCATCACATGTTGCGGCGTAGCAGAGAGGTCCCGAATTCGAATCTCAGCCCCGAGACTGATTATTCTGAGGTTTCCGTGAAATGTTTGCAATTCTGGACGTAACCTTTTCGAACCTTTGCACGGGATATCTCGCTTAAATAATTGACGGTCCTTGTCTATGTTCATTTTGTTATTCGGAATATTAGCGATGAAAACGTGTACATCCTGGCTCTTGAACAAGAAAAAGTTTTTGCCATGCGAAATTTCAGGTTCTAATAGAACGATCTTCGGGACCAAACGACCGCCCCCCCCATACTTCCGTGGCAGAATGTTCCTCAGAAACCTCATTGCCTCCACCAGGCTACACGGCTCCACATCCCAGAACATTGTAATTTTATGTAGTACTACTTAGGGATAGCGTAATCGGCATAGCGACTGGCTACGGGCTGGACGACCGAGGGGTCGGAGTTCAACTCGCGCAAGAATTTTCTCCACATCGTTCAGACCGGCTCTGTTGCCCACCCAACCTCCTAACCAGTGGGTACCGGGTCCTCTTTCCCCGGAGATAAAGGGCGGCCGGGGCGTGAAGCTAACCACTCACCTGTAGCTAGTGCCGAGGTCAAGAAAATGTGGATGTATACAGCCACTTACCCATACTCATTCATGGCGTACTGTTTAATTAGTTAACTGTAGGGACATCTTTGCTTTTTACTACTAAAATGTTTTAGGAGAAGAGCTTTATTAAAGGATTAAAATAGACCTCGACCACTTCCTTTGGCATTCCTTCCAATTAATTACTGTCATCCAAATTAACGCTGTAGTGCGGCGTACGAATGGTTGTTAAGCAAAGGAAAGTAACGTTCTTCACATCGAGTTTCGCCAAAACGTGAATCCGTCACTGGCGGCATTGCGTGGTCTTCGCTCGTATCGGTAGCTCTGCGCCGGCGCAGTGCAGCCTCTCATGTCCTACTGACCTGGATCGAGAGACCGGCCTTCCTTCCATTGCTGCGCGTAGTTGCTTAGAAGAGCGAGCGTGGTGAAGATGTGAATCTTGTTGCAGTGACTTATTTTTGGAGGGAAAGGAAAAGAAATGGAGTGTCTTAACAGATTAATGATGGACCATCCAGTGTTTGGTGTTGGTGGTAGTGGTGGCGTTGATGGAGTTCCAGTGTCTTCATATCTGCAGCAGTGCGAAGCCCGGTAAGGCACCTCAGTTCCGGCCCTGGATAGACAAGAGTGGGTCAGGTGCTTAAACAGGGTTGCCACGTGTTACAAACAGCGGTATTTAACACACAATGCATGGACAGTTTATAATGACGGAACTTACACAAGTTAAGATTATTTAAATGCATGTCTTCTTTGTCGGGTTTGAAATTCTCACGGGTGTAAGAATTTAGGTTGTGAGACTAAACGTCTTGGTCCAGTGGCTAGTACACCTGCTTTATATTTGGAAAGCCCCCCTTTCAAAATCACGACGTGGACACCAGCTAATCTATTTGACTAGTCTTCTCAGCCTCTACAGGCAAGTGCTGACCGCTTCCTTCCGCATCCTTTGCAGTTCATTATTTTGCAAAGCATACAGCTATAGAATGTGCTCACGAGGGCATCCTCAAATAGGCAATAAATAAATATAATATCCAGGCTGTGTAAACCTAGAAGAACACATCTGCCTTAATTTTAGGGCATTTACTCATTTGAGGTCTGCTGTCTAGTCGTTTAAAATTACCTGTAAAAATTAATTGAAATTTCTTCAAAGTTATTTAATCAGCTGTGTAGTGAGTGAACTGTGTATTTCATCTGTTGACGTTTGACAGGCGTTATTGCGTGCCAAGGATTAAGCTGCGTGCCAAGCGGACAGTCTAATATTGCGTATTTCCTTTGCGTAAAAGTGTATTTCTGTTTGCGTATATATAATCATGCAGATAGAAGTGTGTAAAGCAATGTATTTAATTGTGTTATACAACTATCAAACTTGTCCCCTGCCCCCTCCCCCTTTCACAGAGCGAAGAATGTAGATTATTTTACCCTGAAGATGGAAACACCAGGTTCTCCCGAACATTTGGTGATTGTATACGATATTACACGGCGTGATGTCCCAGAAGACGGTAATCTTTAGATTGAGGTTGTTTGAGATCAAATTACCGAGGAGAATTTGGACGTAATACGATGAAGAAGTAACTGAAAGACGGAAAAAATTGCGTAATGAGGCGTTTGATAATTTTCACTCTTCGTCTAATAATTAAATTAACGGGAAATGTGACTGGGGCATGTTACGCGCATGGAAGAAATGAGAAACAATACAAATTTTAATAGGAAGTTATTTTTCGGAGACTGAGGTTTAGACAGTAAAGTAGGGCGGAGTGAATTGGCTCTGTTTCATGGAAACATGGAATTCCTTGACCACCTGCCCAACTAGCAGTCTTAGAAAGACGGGTGCACTCCGTGGATTGCTTGGTTAGTGCAAAGATAGGCGGTGTCAGAGGTGATCAGAACGTTGTAGATGTGTAGCAATCGCATTGCCTTCGAATCTGGGAAATTGATAGGTTCACATGCGCCCCCTTCAAGTGAAATTAACTATACTTCGTGAGATGCTTATATTATCATGCATACAGCATCGAAATAAATTAAATAAAGCAGTACATATGTCAAAACATTGCAGAAAACGTAAAGCAGTTTAAGTGAAAAGATTTTCATTGTAGCAAAATGTATTCTCCATTTACATTCTGCATGCGGCACGTGTAATTTCAAGTTTCCGCAACGGTTTCTGTGTGGTTGTTCATGGCCACCTTACCCCTCGACCTTCAGTACTGCGGTGCTTTTTGTGGGGGTTTTGAAGGCTCACCTAACAGTTCGTTGTTTGGTACAAGCAGTTGCAGTGAATTGGAGAAGTTGAAGGTTTTACACAATAACAACGCTTTCACAAAAGTAAGAGCTCGATATGATTGCTGTTCTTTTGATCAAGTCAAGGAGGATGCGGTGGGCAGGTCATGTAGCACGAATGGGGGAGTCGAGGAATGGATATTGGTGGGAAAGCCAGAAGGAAGGAGACCACAGGGAAGACCAAGGCGTAGGTGGGTGGACAATATTAGAATGGATCTTAGAGAGATAGGATGGGATGGTATTGATTGGATAGATCTGGCTCAGGATAGCGACCAGTGGAGTGCTCTTGTGAACATGGTAATGAACCTCCGGGTTCCATACAATGCTGGGAAATTCTTGAGTAGCTGCAGAATTGGCGTCACCTTCAGAAGGGCTTAGCTCAGTGAGTAAGTAAGTAAGTTCTTTTCACCTTCTGAAGAGTTCTACTGTGAGTACTCACGAACAGTACAGGAAGCAAACTACATGAAATTTACGAGTGCTGGAATGTGACACCGAGTAGTTTGGTACATAGGTAATAGATTAAATTTTTCTACCCTGGAAAAGGTGGCAGATTGCTTCATAATGTTTGTACTTGTCTACTAAACTACACGATGTCACATCTTAGCAGACTGTACTGGTAATATTATCTGCAGCAAGAACCTCGGATCCCAAAATTGTGTGGCCTGGGTCAAAAAGGAAATGCCATCTCCTTCAGAATAGTCTCTTTGGAAACGTATGCAGCCATCACATCGCGTTTTCTTTTTCCCTCACGCTTTAAAAGCACGGCGGAAGTGATTCCCTTCATGCTGTCGAGTGCCGCTTCCGGTTCGCTTTGGATGTCAGACAGTTTCAAAACGTCGTCCCTTCAGTTTCATTTTCAATTTCGGATTTTTTTAAAACGTTTATTTTTTTCTCCGTAATGAGTTATGCTCAATATGTTTTTTTTTATTGCTAGTGGGGTGGGACTAAGTCCCTTGTACTGCGGCCACTTCTGGCCTATTGTACCAGCTCCAGATGATAGGTGAGGGTGATTGTGGAGCAATTGGTGGAATGAATATTGACAGGGGAAACAGAAGTACTCGGAGAAAACCTGCCCCAGCGCCACTTGACCAGACCCGGGATCGGGAAGCCAGCGACTAAACGCTTGAGCTATGGCGCGGCTCTTTGCTCGATATGTAGTCAGAAGCGCATGCAAGTCTCCATGTAATAACGTGCATGTTAATGGTCGCTTTCAGCCAAATTGGAATGTACGAGCAAAGTTGAATATATTTAAAGGAAATCGCTCATCGGTTCTCTGTTACATGCAAACGGACAGAAATACATGGCTAAGCTGATACACGCGTTTTTTTGCGTCTTTTCGTTGTGAGGGGGGAACCCCTCAAAGGAAGCTTACTGTGCCCAAGTACATCGGTTTTACCAAGTATTGGGGGAATAGAGGTAAAGATTGACGTAGTCTTAAGCTCAGCATTAGATGACAGTGAGCGATCACTTTCGATCTCCACAGCTATACGTCCAAGGGACCCGCTGCCATGGAATGAGCCTGGTTGGGTCCCAGAGGCGGTCTGGATGCTGTGACTGCCTATCAGTAGCTAATTACATGGAGCCAAGCTCTTCTGCAGAAGCCAGCAGTCACTCAACTGCTCAAGGATTTCCCAACATTTTATAGTACCTGAAGATCTAGTACCGTGTGAACTAGATGAATCTAGTTTCTAGCGGAACAGTAATTATTATTGCTCTTTTTATGGGTCCTTTAAGGATTTCAGTGTCGAGACGGTGGGATAACTGGTGAATTGGAAACAGTTTTAAAGGAAGCTGTTGTGGCTTAAGCTACGTACTATCTGGGGGACTGAGGAAGATCAGGATAGCCGGTGACCCCGTCTAGATTCAGACTGAACACGTGCCGAATACAGATGTTAATGCTCTCATTTCTGTGTACTTGCAAATCGAATATTGCCGTCTCCTTGTATCTGTTAGCTAGGTACTAGAGTTGCGCCTACTGACTCCATCGTCGGGTTGCGAACTGGAGGCGGCAGGTTCTTCCGAAACATTTTATCTCTACTAGATTACACAGCGCAAGAAGGGCTGTAAGAAAAAAATGGTAAAACCTGTACTGTTAAGAAATAATTAAATTTAATGCCTTAAATAACCGATCACAGTGGCTTAATCCATGAACCGTCTTCGCCCGCTCATTTGAATCTCATTCGAGCCATGATTGCGTGCGTTTATTCCGTGTGTAAGTAGCGGCCTTGCCCAAGGAGCCGTGCCGATTGTGTATAGGATTAAGAAACTGAAGAAGAAGCCAGAACCTAACACAAGGGCTGTAGAGAGAGAGTAAGAGAATACCTGAAATATAATTATGGGCATTTTCATAAATATCAGTAGAATTAGCAGATAGAACCGCGCCATCTCCACTCTCTATGCTTAAGGACCCGGCGATAAGCCGAACCGTTTCAAGGAAGCAATAGTCTGGTGTTCTGGCTGATACGGTATGACGGCGATGGTGATTTAATGGCCCGTGGCGTAGGCGGACTTGAAGGCAAGGCATGAAGTTGCCTCAACGATCGCGTTCCGTGGAATAGCAGTGTGTATGTGTGAGTGAGTGAGTGTAATGCAGCGGCCCCATCCTGCTGCATGGTGTCAAGTTCACTAGGGCACTCTCTCGCATCGGAGACCTCTAGCTTTTGAAGTAGATGATAAGCAGTATAATTATTGGCACTCACGTGATAAGATTCGCTATCATGCAGACTGCATTTGAGTGCCCCCACTTGTTCATATTTGAACAAGTCGGCTGTTGGGTTCATTAAGGGGAGGCAGTAGCTGCATAATTTCAAGTGATCATATTTCAGGGATGAAGCACTTCTGCTGTTTAAATAGGAGTTTTTTTTTTTTAGGGGCGGAGTGCAGTGCCAACGAAGCATGATATTCGTTCGTGGTGTGTGCAAGAGACTGCTTTACGAGCCTTAAACCAATTGGGAATAATTCAATTCAATTCTTTATTATTAATGTGCCGAGTCAACAGCCGCAAGGCCAATTACAGACTCAGCACAGTGTAGATGACTGAATTACATTACATACAGACTTATTAAAAGTCAAATACAAATTACAGTTAAATAATTGGAAGAAATAATAATGAATAAAAGTAAAAGTAAACAAACAAATAAGTGATAATTATAACAGTAATAATAATTCCATTATCATTAAACTAAGTGCTATTACGAATAGAGGAATGAAACATTAATATTTAATTAAGAATTGAATAGTATAGATTTTCTGAGGAAAATTACGTAATTCATTTTGCTTTACTGAACATGCAAATAATAAAAATACTAACAGTTATACTG